GAAAATCAGCATGGTATCTAGGCAATCTCTAAACAACCAGTTATTTTTGGAGTTTAAAAAAAACATTTTAAAATTCAAAACTGGAGAGGATGTGTATCTGTAGAAGCGAAAAGGCTGAGCACGTGCAGGGCAAGTGGCAAGCGATGAGACTTCTGTAGAACACGACTGAAATTTAAAAGGAGAGGCAGCACGGAAGAGACAGATGACTACATATAAAACAAAAGACTGGACATTTTTCATTTTCATTTCGCAGTAAATGACTCCTAACTTCCCAAGATCAAGATTGCTTGCTCGTAGGAAAATGGACGTGTTGCCATTGACTTCAGGCTGAACATGGCTAAGCTGAAGGTGCACTTCAGACTCTCTTAACGTGTAAAGCGTTTAATATTAATGATGGGATCTTACTTAGATAATACAAGAATATTGATTTATTAGGTTTTTCTGAAAACCAAGTTGCATGCTATCTGTTACAATGAAATGAAATGTTCCCATCTCTCTATTCTGCATATGACAGGGAACGTTATCTCTGGCTTCTATTAAATCAAAGTTCTTTGACATTGCTTTATTGATTGCGAGACAGCATTTCGCACTGGAATTAAACTGTGATCAGATTCCTTCCTCATGGAATTAAATTTGAAGATCATTCTACCATGGAAAAGTATCACCCACAATGTAAGACAGCAGATGGAGACACTCCAATTTATTTGGGAACCCTCATTAACCGTTTGAAAATCATTACATTTTTAATGGTTATGATATTTTACATACTGTATCAATAGATGTACAAATTAAGTAAAGGTGACTGCAACATTATCCTTTCACATATTTTACTGTATGGAGCGTTTAGCAAGAGTTTTTCATTTGTTTGAGGGATACCGAGTTGGAACATACACATGAAATGCAATGTTGCATATACACATCTGTACTCAAATGTAGATATAAACACTCCTTCGAACCTGCGTTTTCACGGCCCTTGATTCATCTAATGTGTCCTTTCTGCATATTCCAATACTTCATTCCAAATATTATTTAATGAGTGCCTGATTCTTTGCTTATCATAAAGCAGAAATGAGACTCCTGCTGTAGTCAGTAGATATTTACCGCCATAAAATGCAAGATCAGAATGGCATTCTTTCTATAAATCTTTGTTTTAGGGACATAGCCTCCTTCACAGCAGCGAGATGTGCACTAGAAGAAAGGGCAGCAGAAGGGACAGCACGAGGAGAAACACCATCTCATCCAGCCACCCAACAGAGACTTACTATTGAGGCTATCTAGAAATACATGCTCTTTCACAGAATCATAGAATCATTTAGGTTGGAAAAGACCTTTAAGATCATTGAGTCCAACCATAAACCTAACGCTGCCAGGTCCACCACTAAACCATGTCGCTAAGCACCACACCTATATGTCTTTTAAATACCTCCAGGGATGGTGACTCAGCTGCTTCCCTGGGCAGCCTGGTCCAATGCTTTACAACCCTTTCGGTAAAGAAATTTTTCCTAATATCCAATCTAAACCTCCCCTGGCACAACTTGAGGCTGCTTCCTCTCATCCTATCACTTGCTGCTTGGGAGAAGAGACCGACCCCCACCTCGCTACAACCTCCTTTCAGGTAGTTGTAGAGAGCAATGAGGTCTCCCCTCAGCCTCCTTTTCTCCAGGCTAAACAACCCCAGCTCCCTCAGCCGCTCCTCATAAGACTTGTTCTCCAGATCCTTCACCAGCTTTGTCGCTCTTCTCTGGACACGCTCCAGCACCTCAATGTCCTTCTTGTAGTGAGGGGCCCAAAACTGAACACAGTCTTTGCATCTGATGCATTCGCATAGATTAATCTATCCCGTAAAATGAGACCAACCAATAGAAATGTTGTCTTTATACCTCAGTTTGTAACTGCTCACATGTGGCCACCCCCTCGATACTTGATATGAACAGTCCTGAAGGAAATGAGACAAAAGCCACACAAAATCGCTTACAGCAGAACTGCTGGTCAGTGCTCAACAGTTAATATTCACAAGCTGATCTGTCCCTTGCAGGGGCTGCCCCCAGCCTCTTTTTTTTTTTTTTTTTTTTTTAATATCTTCAAGGCTTTACCATGATACATTCCTGTCTATAGTGGGTCAGAAGCACATAAAAGAAGTATTTCATAACTCAGGGGTATTTATGACAGCCCCGTGTATGCCCATGCTGATGGATTCGATCACACTATTTGATGTTTTTACTGTATCTTTGCTGAGTGCTGCTACGAGCCATTTACGAATTCATAAGTGAGGTATCAAATTGTTTTGGAGGGCTGCAGTACGACAGAACAAATTATAGAGAAGACTTAATTTGTATTACGGTTCAATACAGTCAATTAAATATTGCGCAGATTAGAAAGTAATTTAACATTTAAGCTTCAGTTGTTAAAAAAATCCACTGTACATAGCCTCCAAATTATTTTAGGTCTCCTGTGACTTTAGTTACTGTTGCAAACATCAAGGATTTTAAATGCAAGCACAGATAAAGTCTCAAACCAGATAACCTGTGATGCACGAGTCCTTCTTTTTAGGCTAAACATGATGTCATTATTATATTTTATTCATACATTCAAAATATTTTCCTGGTGTTAAAGAAGTCCAAAATACCCAGCTCCACCAAGGCTGCTGTCTTCCCTCTTCCCCTTAAGTTTGCTCCAGTCTCTCCCACTAGGCATTATTTTCTCTCCTTTTCTCCATTCTATCCCCCGCTTCTCCTCTTCCCCCAGGTTGCTCCCTGTACATCACATTGAATTGATTTAGCTGCCTCTGAGATCTGTAGCATTTCTAATTTCCCTTAGGCTGCTTGGCACCTATCATAAATTTTTTCACCCCTTATCCTCATCTTGCCCCTTTATTTCCATGCTGTAGCCTCCAGTGCCACTAAATCAATTAAGTCAATCAATTAAGTACTTGGAGGGTCCAGCAATCATGTCAAATATGTGAGTTAGATGGCATGAGAAAGTCACTGCTTTACTATCACTATTTCTCTTTTAATGAGGTTGTCTATTTAGTGGAGCCTGGGGCACAGTGTTAAGAACCACAACAAAAAATATCCTGCAAGCTGCAAAGCCTCCTATAAAAGCTGCCCCACTGAAAGCTGGAAGCGTGTACCACACAATATTATATCTATATGGACAAGTTTCACAGGGATTTAAGTTGCACAGCCTTTCACCTTGAATAACTAAATGGTGAGCCTGTTTTCAGATAGGCGGTATCAACTGACAGCTCCGCTGCTGTGGTTTCCACGCTATCGATACTGGGATGTGGGCAACAGACGTGGCCCAAGCATCCTCTGCATTTGTATTCCTGTCTATTCACGTCTATCACATTTGAATAAGCAATAATACATTTTGTGTGTCACTTAAAGCTCCCCAAACATCAAAGTTACCCACCAAACTGCAAAATCCTTAATGGATTCATAATAAAATAACTTCATGAACTATAGTCTCAGTCATACTGCCGTCTACATGCAAGTCCCCCATACTCCAACTCATATTGTGATTGCTCAGCAGTACGTTAGGAAATCAGGCCCTATATGTTTAGGAAGACTACTGAGCAGATTGTAGAAACTGAATCTAATGTGAAAAATTACTGCAATGCCTTAACAACAAGCGTAGCAAGTCAGAACTGTAATAGCACATTGACCATTATTTACTGCAACACATTAAGTGAAAACAATGACGTGTAAATAGGTGAGTGGTTCTGGCATGAATTTTATCTCTTTGCTGCAAGAAACACCAGAGTGGTACAGATGTGTGGCCAGCTCCCCCACTACATCTAGGAGGCTGCTGTGTTCCTTAACAGTGCCTAAGACGTGCATACTACGGGACTCTGTCAAATGGTCTTCACGGCCATTTCCTTATAATTCCTGTTTGTTTTAGCTGAGATTTGCAGGGATCATGGGGACAACAACTGGTCACATGCATTTCTCTAATTGCCTATGTTTGTGCTGCAATGCTTCTCTGCTGTTTTGTTAAGATGCACTTAGTAGAGGTGGTCTGGAGC